CAGTTACAAAACAAATTTGAGGTACAGGAGATTTTTAATGTTATTGATTCAATGCCTGCTTAGAAGTCTCCGGGCCCAGATGGCTTTTCCAATTTATATTATCAAACTTTTAAGCTGTTGCCCCATGGCTGCCCCATATTTAACAAACCTATTTAATTCTGTCTTTCAACAGGGATCTCTACCAGAGGGAATGTTAGTTGCCTATAGTGTCACTCTGGTAGGGCACCATATGCTTGTAGGAATTTCTGGCCTATTTTCCTTCAACATAGTGACATTAAAATATATGTTAAGTTGTTACCTAGAGGAGTGTCTTCACTCCTCCCTGCACTAATCATTTATGACCAATACAGGTTTATTAAATCAAGACAGGGTTCTGAAAATATAAGAAGAGTACTTTACATCTTCATCTCATCTCCAATCCACACATGGTCAAAGTCTTTTTATACCCTTATATGATGAGAAAGAATTCGACCAGCTTAATTGGGCCTATATGTGGCAAGTTTTCTTATCCTATGGGTTTTTCAGAGTAGCTCCCAATGGGTGTCATGGCATTACACCAACAATTGTTGGTAAATGTGTTTAACTCTAGGTTTCTATCGTCCTCTTTTACCATAACCAATGGCACGCACCAGGGTTGTACCTTGTCCATTTTGCTTTTTATATTGTCCCTTAAACTGCTTACTATTGACATTATATCTTATCCACACATTTCTAAGTATCTAGATCGATGCGTGGGAACATTGAATCTCGTAAGCAATTGTAAGCAACTATTATAAATTAACTACCACACAGACTCAAGCCCTACCTTAAATAACCTGGCCTTTGAGGTACAAGTTTTGTGTCAGAGTTTTAAATTTAATAGAGGTTTGACTTCCCTAGTCTACCTCTGTACTAAATTTACTAAATCAATATCATCTTTGTTCAAGTTTAATATCCTTCCAATGCTAGCCAAATTAACTTTTCCATCCTAAAAATATCTTATTATCTCATGGGTGGGTATCATATATTCTATCAAGATGAAAATATTGCTGAAATTTCTACATTTGCATAAAACCTTGCCACTTTCTTTTTCTTATTGTATGGAAGCACGCAAGCTCTGGATAGACTCCATAAGATATTTGATTCAGTCATCTTTACCAGCTGAAGATGCCTCCAGGATAAAGGTGCTCCCTACTATATTTGGTAGGACTTTGTTGAGATATGCCCCTTTTGAGTTCAAGTCCAAGAATTATTAGACATATTATGTTCTGGGACTTTACTCATGTCTCCAGCACTTTATTTTTGCTTGGCCTTTCTACCATCTTTATCCTTCCACAGACGATCCTTAGCAACACACATAATTTTAGCAATTAAGGGCTTAATTGCCCAGTGTTGGAAAGGTCAAATTATCACCAAGATTTATTAATAAAACTTCATATAAATTTTTTATATGAAGTGATATCTGTTCTTAACCCAAATCAGAAAAGGAAGGTGGAAAAATTATTACACCCTTGGAAACAATTCCAAAATGTATTCAGAATACACTACCCTTAGTCCTTAATTTATATCTCATGCAATGCACTAGTCCGCAAGTTGTTCAAATTCTCATCCCACCCCAATTGCTCTGTTGGTCTGAACGGTCCATTGGTGCTGAGGAGTTGAGGACCATTTTGGTCTACTGGAACATCTATATGTTGCTTGAATTGTGGTGAGGAATATTTTTTTTTTTTAACTTTATTTTCCTTACACTGTTTACATCCCTATTCAAAGATATAAACATTTTTTTTCGCTGATCCTAGATCAATGTGTATTTTCACTAATAAACCTCAATAAAATATGATAAAAAAAAAAAATTGCCCACAAGTGGATTTTAAGAAGATATGTCCTGCAGACAGCCAAAGGCATATTATGGTTGAATAGTGGTACCAGCCTGCAGTCCCATATGGGCAAATAGCCAGCATCTTTCTGGTTCAAGTTTAAGCTAAGCTGGATAAACTGATAAAAAAGATATGAAAACATCTGAATCTTCTGGCATCAAAGTCATTCTTTGCCATGGATGGTTTTAAGCCTAAACTGTCATGCTGATGTGAACTATTTCACAGTAAGCTTAACTCTGTCAGGGTGAGACGGTAGCTCGTTTTTGGGCACTTCAGTAATTAAAAAAAAAATTGTCGGAATACAGATGGCAAGGGAAGATGTGATGTTGTGACACAGGTTAAAGGTGAAAAACTGTGACTCTATGGATAGAAAATGTAACAATGAAGAAAGAAAACATTGTTGTTTAATGGAAACTGATGATGGGACATAGAGATAATTACTATATTATAATAGCATTATTTTTTAACCTAAATCGGAATGGGTGGCATTACAAATGTTTTGCCTTTGGCTCCCTTTAGTCTAAATCAGCTTTGCTATCAGTGTGGTACACATGCAAAACACTACCTTAATCAGTCTATAAAAGCCACAAACTCACCTCAGAGTTCCGGAGTCACACAAACACAGGAAGAAGGGGCTCATTGTCATACACACTCAGGCTCCTCAAGTCTGTTCATATTATACACAGACAAGAGTTACTTAATTGATCTACAATGAATGTTCACAGGGGGGGTTCTCAGTATTTCAGTAGCAAACCAAGTGATCGTGACTCCTTTTGTCTACCTATGTAAAGCTAAGTGTGTCATTGATATACTAGATTTAGAATGTCTAACATATTTTTTATTTTCTAATTCAGCATTAGTCTAACACAGAGCAGTGATAAATAACTTTATTATTTTATATTTGGAGACTTGTCATAATCGCATATTTTTGTAACTGTCTGCACCCAAAGGAAAAGAAAACGGTGCGGATCACAGATTTTAAGTATCTATTGTTAAACAGAGGACAAGAGTTTACATTGACAGTCTTTTATTATCTTGCTCGATCAATATGTGTTCGAGAAAATAGAGCTAATTCGACATCCTGGTAAGTGCTCTCCTGTTTTGTCACCGTGCCACACAGCGTTGAGTGTCTATTTAATGTCAATCAGTATGCCACATACAAAAGGATCAAAAATCAATTTAGTACTTGCCAAATCTCCTCTTGAATTGAAGTGGAGTTCGCTACATAGAAAAGAATGATTACATGGGGGTAGGGTGAATTTATATCTAGGCCAATTTGTAGGCTGCATTTTGTTTCTATTTCATAAGGGAAGTAGAAGCACCAAAACACAAGTGAATTGCTAGTTTTTGGGGTGAGATGTACTCATGTGCATATTATCAAACAGATGAAGTCATGACATGTTAGAGAGGAACTGTAACTCCACTAAAAATTTACACCATTGAAAACAAACATAGAAAATCGATACAAATGCAGAAAGATAAGTCCTGCGCTCACTCCCATCACTGGGCGGCAGCAAAGACTACAGTACACATCAGCCCCAATATATAGTAAGAAAAACAAGTTACATGCGCTCTCTCCATAGAAAATCACCTATAACTCGTGTTAAGGTTTTTGTTTTTTCTTATGATGCTTGGCTTTTAAAAAAATATATATATATATATATATATTTTAAAGATTCAATCCAGTTCAGAGAAGGCAAAGCTAGGGCAAGCATTGCAAATGAAAAGAAGAAATATTGTTTCATTTCTATTTTTCTGTGCATGTTTCCTCTGACTGACAGCTGCAACAGGCAGAGCTTATCACAGTGATTGACAGGGCGCTGAGATGGAGGCACCAAGTTACAAAATAAAAATGTGCGGAGCAATAAAGTTAGAGTGACACTCCGAACACCAATATATCTGTAAAGTTTTTGCACACAAATAAAGAAGTAAATGTTTTCAGGAATGCTGCAAAAAAAAATATAAATAAATAAAAGCCCCCCAAAGAATATAACATGTTAATGAGGCCTAAATCTATTATATTCATTAAATGTATTGGTGCCCAGAATGTTCATTTAATTAGTTTTTTTACACCTCACAAATACATATGTGTTAAATATAGAGATAAGTAAATATAATATTAAAAATCCAATTAAGTAAAATGTCCCTTTTAACTATGTGGCAAAAATGTGTATATACATTTCCTACATTTTTGTTGCTGTTGCTAGAATAGGAAAGATAAGCATTTAGCACGGAGTATCCTCAACATTTTCAAGCCTGCAGGTAATGTGTTAACCTGCAGGCATAGGCAACCTTCGGCACTCCAGATGTTGTGGACTACATCCCCCATAATGCTCTTACATCCACAATGCTGACAAAGCATCATGGGAAGTATAGTCCAAAACAGCTGAAAGGGTTCCTTTTAATTAACAGCTTCATTACCCACTCACACTGAAACCTAGAGAATGGGGAAAAATTTCCCATTAAAAAACTCCCTAAATAATAAGAAATTACTCGTCTATATACAGGTACTTGGACAAATGGGACTGATTGCATGCTCTGCTATGATTTGACAAGATCTTGGGAAGTCTTATAGTATATTGTAGCCCATGGAGCAGCGTAACTAAGGGGAGTGGGCCTTGACATTGCCAGGAGACAGGCCATCTAAAGGTCAGTGGTCAGGGATTGGTCATTGGAAATGGTGGGATGGAGTTTTAAAGGGGAGTAAAAGTAGTGGCCATTTTAGAACCAAGAACCACTTTAATCTAAGTTACACTTACCTGTTTGTTGTGGCAGGAATTGTGTGGCTTTTCATTTGTCTCCTCTGCAGGTCAGCAAGATGGAAGGAGTCCGGGCTGCTGTGCAGGAGAGGGGGATCGAGTGGCTCAGGGATCACCTGGGAGATGCTCTGCCATCCGGATCTGGAGGTTCCCAGGGTCAGAGGCCGGTCAGGAAGACGAGGCCTCCACAGCGGTTAAGGCCCCAGCGTGGTTCCCCGGCCCTGGCGTCAGAAGAGCCCTTCAGGAGGTCCCAATGGCGGTGAGGTGAGTGCCGGCGGGGAGGCCGCAAGTGGAGGAGGTCGTGGACGGCGTTGTGGCGCAACCACGCGAACGAGCCGTCAAGCGAGGATGGAGGTGCAGGCTGCTGGTTCGGGAATCGAATCTGATGCTGCCGAACGTTCGGGAGGTGAACATGGAGGTATGCGAACCAGCGAACGGGCTGAAACTGCCGAACGTTCAGGAGATGAACGTGGAGGTAGGCGAACTGGCTAATGGGAGACAACTGCCGAACGTTCGGGAACCGAACGTGGAGGTACTGTCACTGCCGACCGTTCGTTTCCCGAACGGGGAGGTGAAAAAACACCCGGGAGTTGAATGGGGAGGTAGCCATACTGCTGGCCGTTCGGTTGCCGAACGGGGAGGCAGGAAAACTGCCGAACGTTCGGTTTTTGTGTCTTCTTTTGCAGGGAATGAAGGAGAAGCGGCTGCAAGTGATAGGAGTCCTGGAAAGAGGCCTGGACAAGCACGGGCCAGCGGAAGAAGGACGAGCGGTACAGCAGGCTTGGCAGCAGGTCACGGGAACGCTGGAAACGCTGTTGGAGGAACAGGGACAGCAGGGCTAAAGCGCAGGGCGCGCAAGGTGCTAGGAAGAACTGGTCACGAAGCAGCCATCGGAGGGTAGCTGACGTAGTTGACAGGGATCCCTGCGGGGTGGACCATGCCCGGGGGGGGGAGGCATAGGGCGCCCCCTGTCTGTTCAAGGGGATGGACGCAGCAGGATGGCAGTTCCACGAGCGGGAGTTCCCCGGAGAGGAGGCGGGCTGCTGTACAGGCTCATGACCCTCGGGGGTGGACGGCTAGTGGGGAGATGGGGGACAGTTCCCAGGACGAGAGGGGATGGGGCAGGGTTTCTACGGCCAGCCTACCCAGGATGTCTTCTCCTTACAGGTCTCGAGGACGGTCACCCTCTGGGAGGGAGAGACCCCACGCGTCAAGGACAGCAGGACGGTCGCCGGCAGGCAAGGCGGACCCGGTTACAGGACAGGCGTCTTCCAGTTCCCTTGTGGATCGGGTGAGACCCAGCGCCTCAGGAGCATGGCCCGGAGCAGCAGAACGCCTGGGGCAGGAGATTCGCGGTCGTTCAGCAACCCCAGGGCCTTCGGCGGCAAGGTGTGCGGAAGGTGACGTCGTGGGAGCTTCTAGATGACATTAGGCAGTTAATTGATTCTTGGGGTGTAGGGAGAAGGAAGAACAGTGAGTGCAGTCAGGTGTGGGCTCGGGGGGTGGTCACTGGGTCTAGTCCGGTGAGGGTTCCCGGGGCCGCAGGCGCCCGGGTTGGCAAATGAGAGAGAGAGTAAAAGATAGAGATAGAGGAGTACTTAGAGACTTAGAGACACTGGTCAGTCCTTCAGATGTAACCTATATACAAAAAGATCCAAACATAGCATAATACTGTTTTTCCAAATAATATAGTAAATAAATGTGGATTTTTCACTCACACTTTGCAGAGCCACGTATAGTAGGCTCTGACTATAGTTGCTCTTTGATAATTCCCTGGTGTATTAAACTCCACCACGCCTTCAGAATTCTCCACTTGGATCAGGATACAGGAGATATAAAAATTCCAAAACAGAGTGGGGATACTTTTCAAAATTTAATAATATACAGGGACATATATAAAGTGCATAAAACAAAAAAGCAGCACTACATGTACAAAGACATCTATAAAGTGCATAAAAAGAATAACACTAACGCGTTTCAACTAAAATAAAGTCTTTTTCAAAAAGACTTTATTTTAGTCGAAACGCGTTAGTGTTATTCTTTTTATGCACTTTATAGATGTCTTTGTACATGTAGTGCTGCTTTTTTGTTTTATGCACTTTATATATGTCCCTGTATATTATTAAATTTTGAGATCCAATCAGAACGCAGAGATGATTCTCTAGGTAAATCTTTACCTTGATGCCCTTTGATGCAGTGCAAGAAAGCCTGTGATATAATTGTATTCCCTGCACCTTTTAGCCTCAGCAGCAAACCACACACGTCTGTCATTTAGAGTCTTCATTCCCCTTTATGTGCCAATTAAAGGGAAGTATGCAAAATAAATGGAGCTTAATGGAGCCTCTTAGATTCCCTGCACAGCTAGCATTCCTCCAAAGGTTAACTGCTACACCAACTCAATGTGCAAATTGAAGGGAGTGGGTACTTAAAGCTCCAACTTTCTTCAAAGTGCAGCAGTGTAGGGTGGGGACAGGCACTTCAGGTGTAAATAATGCAGGGAGACTAAAAGATCCTGCACAACATAAATCTGTAAATCTGAATTAGGTTAATAGATATGGCAATTGAACAAAGCATGACCTGCTGTATCCACATACCAGTCACATTTAAGAGATAAAATCACTTCTCAATATAAAAGGAATACTCCAAGCACCATAACCACTACAGCCAGTGGCGGATCCAGAGCCTGATCTCGGGAGGGCACTTGTAGATTATTTAAAGAAATAATCCAGGCACAATAACCACTAAAGCTCAGTGTAGTAGTTATGGTGCCAGGATTCCTACCCAGAGTAAGTAGTCAAACCATTTAAGAACAGTTTGACAACTTACCTGGGGTCTGCTGGGATATAGGGCATAGGAGCAGTGGTGTGTGTTAGGGGTAAAGTGTGTGTGAAAGGTGCAGTGTGTGTGTGTGTGAGCGGAGAAATGTGTGTGCGAGTGCGTGAGGGCGGCAGTGTATGTCAGGGTTGCAGTGTGTGTTGGGGCAGTGTATGTGTGGGGCAGTGTGTGTGTGTGTGTGTGTGAGCGGTGGAGTGTGTATGTGAGGGTGGCAGTGTGTGTGAGAGTTGCAGTGTGTTTGGGGCCGTGTGTGTATGGGGGCAGTGTTTGTGGGGCAGTGTGTGTAGTGTGTGTATGGGGGGCAGTGTTTGTGGGGCAGTGTGTGTATGGGGTGCAGTGTTTGCATGGGGCGAAGGAGGGTAGGAAAGCTTTTTAATAAAAAATATTTATTTAATAAAATAAATATACTATATGTCCCCCTTCCCTTCTTACCTTTACTGGGAGGAGGGGGAACATTTCTGCATCCCTGGTGGTCTTTGGGGATTCCCTGGTGGTCCCAGTGGTTACAGTGAACTCTAGCCCGTGCTCCAGGGCTAGAGTTCACTCTCACGAGATTTGGAGCGTTGACGAGGTAACCGCGGAAACGCTCCATGCTCGCGAGAGTAGGACCTGGAGGAGCTGCAGGCTGAGCTCCCGGGTCCTCTCTCCCTCCGATCACCGATCTGTAGTGGTTATACTGCCAGGAGTGCAAAAAATATCTCCAATGGTAGTAATCAATATAACCAATTCAATATGATAAAATGGATATAGTGCCTACAGTGTCTCTTTATCCAATTAGAGCAATGGGTAAGATAAACCCCGACATTCAACTACATACTAAATTTAATGTACAAATCTACCTCAAAATTTATTAAAACTTTTAAAATAGATTAAAGAAATATTATCTTTAAACATATTTAGGCTAAAAATTAACTGCTTACATATTCATATTTGTATAGATGAAATATATGTATATATATATATAGCGGTTCCCAAACTGTGTGCATAGGCGCCTCAGGGCACATATATGATTATAGCAGCTGGAAACATTACTGCTGGGGCCTGCTCGTGTGCCGGACCCTTTAAGACCGCGACCGGGACTCTGTAGTATCAGCAGGCTGGGAGGAAGTGACAGTGTGTCACTTCCTCCCAGTTTCATATAGGAAGATAGCGCTGGAGGGAGAGGAGGCAGCCGCAGCATGAGGGGAGAGGAGCACAAAAAGCTACTCCCACCAGCAGCAGGACCAGAACTCCAAGCTACCCTCCTGGACACACAAGGTAAGCTAACAGGAAGGTGGCTGGAGATCTAATGTCATATTGTGTGAGTGTCAGGGTATGCATCTGTGTGTGTATGTATTTATAGTAGCAAAAGAAAGTGCTGCAGATTGTTCCTACAAAAGGCATGTTACACCAGACACTAAGTTAAGACTATGCAGGATACACGTTTAGAAATAGAAAGCCACTTAGCTTCCAAGTAATCAAGCAATTGTACTATATTCCCTCCTCTTTTTAAAAATAACTCTCTGTATACACTGGGCTCATTTACATGTTTGTCAGTAAAAAGCAGCTGTTAAGCATTGTTAATACTAACAGCTGGTATATGTTTGTTTGGTTTTTCCCTATAGGATGCATTGGGAGTTTGCAGTTACTAACTTTTCTTTTCACGTTTACGTTAGGCTGTGCAGAGCCAGGGCCAGCGCAACCATAAGGCAGCACAGGCGGCTGCCTTAGGGTGCACTGGCCTGGGGGGCACAAAGTCTGGGTGACCGGCTCAGGAGGGGAGCGCACAGAGCAGCACACCCCTCCTGCCAATCACTACATATAGCTTGGCCAAACGGACCTCTGTAGAGGAGCATCTTTATCCTCTACCTGGTCTGACAGGAAGTGCTCACTGGGAGCAGTAACAACTTCATGTCATACTGGGTAGAGTATAAAGAAGATCCTCTCTGCCACGCTACAGAAGGGAGGTATGCAGGCACAGGCGGGAAGAAGAACCCACAGTGTGAGGGAGAGAAAGAGACACACAGAGGGTCTGGACGAGATGACAATGAGACACACAGAGGGTCTGGAAACGACAAGAAAGAGTCACACAGAAGGACTGGAGGGACACAAACAGATACACATAGCATGCTCTGTAAATACAACTCTAAATACATACAGAAGGCTCCTGTAGAGTCTAGCAAGCAGAAGATATATATATTTTTTTTTACATTAAACAGAATTTGCCATAAAGGAAGTATAAACATTAGATGACTCTTCACAGGAAGTGTTTAGGAAGGCTGTGCAAGTCACATGAAGGGATGAGTGCCTAGGGCTGCATAAACAAAGTGATTTAACTCCTAAATGGCAGATAATTTAGCAATGAGACTGCAAGGGCATTATCTATACACTAATGCTTCTTAATTAAGCAAAAGTTATTTTGTGACCTTTAACTGATGTTCATTAGTGTGATTATAACAATAGAGCAAGGAGCACAAAAATGCCTTAACCCCTTAAGGACACATGACATGTGTGACATGTCATGATTCCCTTTTATTCCAGAAGTTTGGTCCTTAAGGGGTTAATCAAGGGAGCATCATGTTTAGTTATGATTGATATCTTCTTTCTACAAATAATTTTTTTTTATATCCAGTATATAGTAGCCCAAGGTGAAAAAAAAAGCTAAACATTCTATAGTTCCACATTCTAGAATGTTAAATAAGTGAGAAGAAAAAAAAAAAAAAGAGCTAGGGGGAAAAAAAGGGTTTGAAATCTGTACACTAATATGTACCCTAAAGGCAATATAGCCAATCTAAACAAAATTCCATATGTATAGTACAGGTATGCTACAATATAAAATGATAACCAATAATTAAATAAAAGCCATTTAAAAAAGCAGGGAAATCCCTGTTTGGGAGAAATCTGCCCCCATGTATAATAGGCACACACAAAAAAAGATGGATGGGGGAGAGATAAATGGCAATATAAATATTATGATAAAAAACAAACTGTTTATTTAAGACATAAAAAGCATTCAAAAATCATCATA